CTGAAGGGGAGGAGAGATGGAATGGCAGTGTAGGCTGGGGGTGGACACGGGCAAACACCAGGACAGGAGCCAGGAGAGGGAGGCAGGGGCTCCTGGAGGTGGTGTGGGTAGGAGGTCAAGGGCAGACACTGGCCTGCAGGGGGCAAGCGAGGGGCAAGAAGGCCACGCTGAAGGAGAGGTCTTGTCAGCACGGAGGTTGGACAGTGGGGGGCGCTCAAGTTTGAAGGATCAGTGGTCAGAGCAACCATGGTAGCACTGGCGGTTTAGGGTGATTTCCAGGGTCAGGAGCTGCTGCCTGTGGTGAAGACTCATCAGGTATGAGGGGGAGAACAGGTGCGGGATGGGGGAGGAGGGGGCACAGCGAGGCAGAGGGGCTGTGGGGTGGTTGTGATCACAGAGAGTTTCAAATCACTGCTCCAAATGTTGCAATTTGTCATTCTTTTCCATTCCTGGCCCCCAATTTCCATGGCCAGAACTTGTACCCTCTTCCCACTTAAAAGATTTCCACATTTAAAAATCTTGATGGAGGGCAGAGACCCTAGAGAGGAGAACCAGCTTTGCCAAACAGTCTTGCATTGGACATGGCATGAAACTTCAGTCACGTGACCACCTGCCGGACTCTGCCTCAGGACATGTGACAGGTAGGCTGGGACAGTACTCCATGGCATTTGGCACTGGTGTTTGAGTGACAGTGATGTCATGCAGTTACAAGGGGCAGCAGCAATAGCAGTCCTAGCCTTAGGGTCCACTGTCCTACATCAGGGGACTCTGGTGTGACCAGTGGCATCTATACCCAGCAGCAGGGCCCTGGTTATATGTGAATTTCCACCTAGGGTCCATTGTGGATTCTCTTCCTGTCTGTGTAGACTCAAGCCTCTTTTGTGATTTTCCTTGAAATAGAACTAGCCCCACACACTCTCTCTCATTCCAAGTCTCTGTAACTGTATATATGTATCACAAAGAGTCAGATCGATATAGGGAATAGCTTCAGAGAGCATGATTTCAGACATGTTTTTCCAGCTTTACTGAGATATAACGACATACACCATTGTGTAAGTTTAAGGGTACAACCTCATGATTTGATACGTTTCTATACTGCAAAATGTTTACAACCATAGCATTAGCTAAGACCTGCATTGTGTCACAGAGTTACCATTTCTTTTTGTGTGGTGTAAACATTTAATATCTACACTCTTTTTATCTCAGAGATTTTATGTTGAGCTAATAACTACTTCCTCTATCTGCTGCCTGGCTGTGCCCCATGGAGAGAAAATGTGCAACTCCCAGCAGGTCTTGCATTTTTCTTCCTACAAAAAAAATTTTTTTAATGTGATGTAAGACCCCCTCCCACAATGAGGTCTCTTACCAATGACTTCACGGCTTCTCTATCTGGTGGAACCCCAGGATTGCTTATGGATTTCTTACAAAATACTCAGGCCTCTCCACACCTACCATGTTAGAGAGCTGGGTATGGACCCAGGAATCACTTACGTAATAAGACCCACAGGACAGGCTGAGGCACAGCCACGTGGGACTCCTGCTTTATGTGCTTGCTGCTCCGTGTGTGCTCTGAAGACCAGCAACAGCACCAACCTTGTTATCAACCACGAACCTCACACTCTACTCCAGACTGTCTAGATGTTCCTAATTCCAGAAATTTCGTGCACACTGAAGGTTGGATCTCCCTGGTCTGTGTGCCTTCTAGGTGCAGAACCGAAGTGTGCAGTACGCTCTGGGTGTGCTCCAATTAGCTTGCTTAGCACTGAGGAGTCCATAGTTTGGTCCTGTTCCTTTCTCTTCCATGGCCATCACCCCCATCATGACCTTATCTATGCTAAAGGCTTTTAACATCACTTCTATGGTGTCATTTTCCATATATATATTTCTCCAACCTAGATATTTCTCCCACCCAGCACTCTATATCCAGCTGCCAACCTTGCTTGCATTTCTAATAATTTCAGATTCTACATTCCTAAATTGGGTGCTTGTGATACCGTTTCCCCAAATGTCCTACTTCCAGAGTCTTCCCTGTTTCCATGGAAGGCTCTCCTCATTTCTACTTACAGTCTGAAGTATTGGATGTCATCTTTGATGCTTCCCTCCCTCAACCCAGAATTAATACACTAAGAAATGCTGCAATGTCCATCTTTACATGTATCCAGGACATACACGCACACACAAAATAACCAGAGCACAGTCACTTCCTATTATTTTCTCTTCTCAAACCCCAACATACATCCAACACCCCCTCCTGGAACACTGCACTCGTTTTCTACAGATTTCCCACAGGTGCTCGTCCTTCACCTCTCGGTTCTGCACACAGCAAGTGCATGCTTCTAAGAGAAGTAGTACCAGGTGGATCATCTGTTCTACACCATCTGGTGACTCCACATGTCACTCAGAGAAAACTCAAACCCTGCCAATCCCAAGGCCTAGACATCTGACCTCATTTCACATGCTCTCTGCTCCGGCCACAGTGGCCTCTCACCCTTCTTGAACACAGGACACACTCCTGCCCTAGTGCATGTCCCCTGGAGGTTCCCCTGCCTGGAAAGAACTCCCTGAGACACGCTCTTCATCGATTCTTCGTGTCCTTCATGTCTCTCAGAGGTCAGCTCCCCAGTGAGGCTCACACTTACCACAGTAAAGTAGCCACCTTCCCTGTCCCTGCACAGGCAACTCTCTCTCTGGTTCACCTTCCTCAAAGCACCTGCCAACTTCCTATTTAAACACATCCCTTATTTACCATGTTTATACAATATACAGTTGACTCTGAATTATACTGGTTTCAACTGTGCAAATCCACCAATATGTGGACTTTTTTATAGTAAGTACTGTTAATGCAGTTTCTCTGATGTTTTCTTACTATTTTCTCCAGCTTAAATTATTGTAAGAATATATATGTGTGTGTGTGTGTGTGTGTGTGTGTGTGTGTGTGTGTGTGTGTGTGTAACATACAAAATATGTTGTTAAGTGACTGTGTTTTCAGTAAGGCTTCCTATCAACAGTAGGTTATTATTAGTAGTATTTACATTTCAGGGGAGTCAAAAGTTATAATTGGACTTCCGACTACATAATGGGGTCATTGCCCTCAATCCCCACTTTGTTCCAGGGTAAGTGGAGTGTGGCCCTCACCACTAGGACATATCCTCCACAAGACCAGCAGGTTTGCCTCTTTTTAGAGTCACTGAGGTGTCCTAGGTGAAAACATAGCAGGTCCTGCACGTGGCACACGACATTATCCGTGGAACGAGGATCTCTCTTCTGAATGAGCCTCAGGCACAGCTGGTCCATGGCAGCTCCCACACAAAGTGCCCCCACCTCACCACCAGTGCTGCCTCTACTTCCCCCTAGGGCTGCTCCCCACCTCCCTCTCCCAGCTCAGCTCCCCCCTCCCACAGCGGTTCCCCTGCACAGCACAGCACAAGGTTACAGTCCTGTCTTCAGAAACACTGGACTTAGGCTCAGTGGGGCCCTTTCTCCTACCAAATAGAAATCTCAGTGAGACTCTGCTTTATAAATCCATGAATTAGGATGGGACCCAGCACCAGCATCACTAGAACTAGGGCAGGGAGAGGGGGCAGAGAGGCAGGGAAGGTAGAAACTAACTGAGGTTGAAAAAGGATGAGAAACTCTTGGATTCCTCTCTGTCTACATCAGTAATGTAAAGAATAATCCAGAAGACAGCTCTAGAGGGAGGGGAAGAGGTGGATGACTGAAAATTCATTTTCCCAAATCACAGGCACTCCTGTGTGCAGGGGCCACCTAGGCCTGTGGGAATGACAGCCTGAAGGACTCCTGGTGCTGTAACTGCAGGGTCACCAGGGGAGAATGGGACGGGAACTTGTACACAGGTGCAAGAACAGGCCTGGTGCTCCAGAGAAACAAAGAAAAAATACCCCCAAAAGATGTGGGCTGAGGCACGCAGGATGGAGCCTGGGCTGAGCCAGGCGTAGGAAGCTCTTGCTGCACAGGGTCCTGTGCTGGAGTCCTGCTCTGGCCGGTCCAGGGTCCCTGAAGGATGGACGGTGTCAGCAAGGGAGGCACGAGATTCTTTCTGGTCACCAGCCCGGCCTCTCCTCACTGTCTGAGACTCAACTTTATTTTATGATTTAGTGTTTGGGGGACAGCAGAGAAGTGGCATTCTGATGATACATTCTTTCTTCAGTAAAAATTCTCCAGGGGCGCCTGGGTGGCTTAGTCAGTTAAGCGTCCGACTTTCGCTTAGGTCATGATCTCGCGGTTCGTGGGTTCGAGCCCCGCGTCGGGCTCTGTGCTGACTGGCAGCTCAGAGCCTGGAGCCTGCTTCAGTCTGTGACTCCCTCTCTCTCTGACCCTCCCCTGCTCATGCTGTCTCTCTCTCTCTCTCTCTCCTAGAAATAAATAAAACATTAAAAAATTAAAAAAATAATTCTCCAGAACGTTGATATGCATAAGCATATGGGAAAAGCCCAGAAGGGGCATTAGTATATTAAAGGCAAAAGTTAGTTCTTTGCGAGCAGGGGTCAATAGCCTGTTTATCGCTTAATGGGAGGTATTAAGAAAAACAGGTGTTTCAGGAGAGCAAAGTTGCTCCCATAACCACAAAATAAGAAGTTCCTATAGTAAGTTCCATTAGAAGGTGCAATCAGCATATCAAGGCCAGAATGCCTTGGGGGTCAGTGCTCAAGCAGAAACAATTGGGTGGGGGAGGATATCGGTTGCCACCTGATGGTAAGAGTCCCTTCAACTTACCTTAGCCTCACAAGGAGTTTTTTCTCAACTTATGAGTTCAGAAATGGCTCCCAACATTTCTTGTAACAGATGAAGTCCAAGTCCCTGTGGTCACAGGTCCTGGGGAGACAAGGTTCCTCAGAAGGGGCAGGGACAAGGAGCAGGTCACACCAATGTTACACTGAGCACTGACTGGGCACAGGCCCCATCCACGCTCGCCCCCTCACAGCCCTCTTCTGTCCATACCTGCAACAGAGTTAGCACAGCAAACACACAGGTTCTGGAAGGTTCTCAGTGCTTTAATTTTTTTTCTGTCTCAACTTTATAAATCTTTTCTTTCATTATTTCATCATCACCACATACCCAGAATTACAAAACACAGATTCATATCTGGATTCTCATTTTTAATAGGGAAGTGACACGTCAGGACTCTGACCAACATGAAATAAAGACGGGGATGGAGACAGTCCAGCCCTGTCTCTTCAGGAACAGGAAAGCAGATCAGAAAGGGAACAGTAATCAGTATCGGGAGGGGTCACGGTGGGCAGTGTGGGCCAGTCTCCTGTGTCCTCACACCATGCTAACAGGAACACAGATACATTCTGACACCAACTGCAGACAGAGAAGTCAGGGGCTCTTGATGTCACCAAGTGGGAGTGTGGACAAATCTTGCATCGCTCAGTTCCCCAGGGGCAGCTGGGGTCACACTGTGAAAAAATTAATCATGAACACATTCAGGTCAATCACATAAGTGCCTCATCCTCAACAGTCCCCTGCATGTCAAAGTGTCCCTAGCGCCCCCACTCCTCCCCACTTCAGGCCCTCCAGATCTTACCTTTAGGAGCCATTAGGGATGAATCAGAGCCCTGGGTGCTGTCATCGCCTGGGGTAGAACAAACAGGACGTGATCAGAGCCACAGGAGATGCGACTGAAGGAGCAGCTATTCGGGGGCGGGGGGGTGAGCTCCCCATGGGGTCCTGTCTACACTACCTCAGAGTTTTAGGGATCACCCCCTCCATACTTACGTGCAGCGTGAGAGTAGCTTGGTCCTTTTCCTCCTGTGGGAAGAAAACATCACGTTAGAGACCTGGGACAGCTGGGCCATGAGGTCCTACAGCAACCTCCTAGTCCTGGTCCACAATGAAGTTTCCAGAATTCTGACTAGAGACCCAGGACAGGATTGGGAAACAGGAAGAAGGGGGGGCGGGGGCAGGGAGCGGTGCACAGGACCACCTGACTTGCTGGAGGTCTGATCTCACCAGGACCTTCCTCTCCGTCCTGTAACTGCTGGGAATCAGATCCCCATCACCAAAATTACCAAGTGAAAACTGTCCTTCATTTTCACAAGTGCTTTGCTGCAGAGTGAAGGTCAGTAACGGCTCCAGAGTGGGCAGGTGCATGGTGTGGATGGGACTTCCCAGGAACAAGGCAGCACCATGTGCTACCTAGGAAACCCCCAGCGGGACAAGAGAACTCAGATCCCCCCAATCTGTTCCTACCTGAGAGCTTCTTCCTCCAGATCACAGCTCCAAGCACCACAGTGACCACAAGGACAGTGACAGCCACACCAGCAATGATGCCCGGGATGGGGATGGAGGGCTGAGGAGGAGGCTCTGGAAAGGGAAGGAAGGTGAGGGGCCCACACCTCCGGCTTCAGTCCTGACTTTGTGAACTTCTCCGGAAGGGCACTGCTCTCCCTGACACCAGGCTCTACCCCACACCCTCCTTACCCCATCTCAGGGTGATGGGCGCGGGCAGCCCCTCGTGCTGCACGTGGCACGTGTATCTCTGCTCCTGTCCAGAAGGCACCACCACAGCCGCCCACTTCTGGAAGGTCCCATCTCCCGCAGGCCTGGTGTCCACAAGCTCAGTGTCCTGGGTGTGGTCCTCCCCATCCCGCTGCCAGGTCAAGGTGATCTCCGCAGGGTAGAAGCCCAGGGCCCAGCACCTCAGGGTCACCTCATGGTCAGAGATGGGGTGGCGGGTCACGTGTGTGCTGGGAGATTCTGAGGAAGAAGAAGCAGAAAATCCACACTGGGGTTTACCTTTAGGGGCCACTGAGACTGCATCCATGTGAGCATCCTGAGGTGGACAGGGCAACGGGTTTGGATGGAAGTAGCGCAAAACCCAGACACCAGTCTAGCCTATGGGATCTCCTGATCCTTGTTAAGTCCTGGAATCAGGGAGAGAGCCCGGGTAGGAGGCTGCAGTTCTAAACTGGGCACCACACCATGGTCCTGACTCTGGTAAAGGGTGAATGACTCAGAAAACCCGGAGTCAGATCTCCAAAGATGTTCTCAGGGAGAACAAGGCCTTGAGAGGGAAGGTCATGGTTCACAAGGTCAAAGGGAACTGCTGATGGGTTATGTCAGGGATGGTCTCAGCCTGTGTCCCAGGGGGAGACTGCGTCCCTCAGTGTCCTTTAGAGAAAAGCGCCCTCTAGGTGGTGAGTCACCCTCTGGTAGGAATATGAACACCGAGGCGGGTCTCCCTCTTCCCACCCAGCGAGGGCGCTGTTCTGCCGCTGAGTCCACATTCCCTTCTTCGTGGGCAGCCAGCCCCAGGGGAGGGGAGATGGGGGCGTCCCCGCGGCCCCTGTACCTGCGCGCAGCAGCGTCTCATTCCCCATCTCCAGGTACTTGCGGAGCCACCACAAGCACGTGCCCTCCAGGTAGTTCCTCTCATGCTCCGCCACATCGGCCACCTCCCACTTGCGACGGGTGATCTGCGCCGCCGTGTCCGCCGCGGTCCAGGAGCGCAGGTCCTGGTTCAGGGCGATGTAGTCCGCGCCGTCGTAGGCGTCCTGACTGTACCCGCGGAGGAGGCCTTGGTCTGTCTCCAAGTCACAGCCAAACATCCACTGGAAGGTGTGAGACCCTGGCCCCGTCCACCGAGGTCAGTCCTCAGACCTTCCCCGCCCTGACAAGCAAGCAATTAAGCCCAAACAGAAAGTAAAACCGCCTAAAAGCTCCCGCGGGTTCTTCCAGGGTCGGGGATGGAGGGTTCCGGGACTCGCGGCTGCGCTCCCCCGGGGCTACCCCGGCCGGTCCGTAGGGACCGGCATCTTGTCCTGGACCCGGGCCCGCCTTGCTCACCGGACTCGCTCTGGTTGTAGTAGCCGCGCAGGGTTTCCAGGTTCAGTCGGAAAGTCCGTGCTGTCTCTTTTACCCTCAGGGTCTCCCGGTCCCAATACTCCGGCCCCACCTGCTCCATCCACCACGCACGCGGCTCCATCTTCCGACTTGGGGCGTCACTGTCGAACCGCACGAACTGCGTGTCGTCTACGTAGCCCACGGAGATGAAGCGGGGCTCCTCGAGGCCGGGCCGGGACACCGCGGTGTAGAAATACCTCAGCGAGTGGGAGCCTGCAGGCGCGGAGGGCCTGAGACCCGGCCCGAGCCTCCTCCCGGCGACGGGCCCGGGTCCCTGGTGGAGGTGGCCGCGAGGGCAGGGGGAGGGGGACCCCGTGGAGGAGAGCAAGGAGGAGTCGTGGAGGGTCTGGGGAGGGCAGACCGGTGTGGGACGAGGGACGGGGCAGCGGACAAGTGTCTCTCCCCGGGGTCCTGCGTCCCTTCCGGACGGTCCCCGCACTCCTTCCCCGCAGAGTCCCTTTCCGGACCCCTAACTCACCCGCCCAGGTCTGGGTCACAGCCAGGGCCCCCGACAGTAGCAGGAAGAGGGTTCGGGTCATTACGAGCCGCATCTTTGGGGTTTGGGCAAAAATGTGAGTCGCAGCTGATACTGGAGGGCGGATGCGGAAACTTTACACCCCGGGACCGCGGCGCCGCTGATTGGCTTCTCCGGAAACGCGACACCAATAGGAGTGTGAATCCAGCCGCATCATCAGTATCCAGGCGGAGGACCTGACACAGGTTGTGACAGGAAGAAGTGAAACCAGGGCAGATGGGGACTCCCCAACACTGGGCTTCCCCGCCCCCCCCCGACACCCTGGGGCCTGGGACCCTGAGGGGCAGGCCCATGAACCTGGGTCTTTGTCCCGGCGCCTCACCTAGTGCACAAAGGGCTCTTTGTCACACTGTCTCCCTGACTCGTGGCCTAGGAGCTGTGTGAATCATTGATTCTCCAACAGTTTGTTGTCAGGATATCTACACAGTATTACAAATTAGTGAGGATCCCAAGGATAATTTTTGTGTCTGTCCTACATATTTACCATAGTAGGAATAAAATAGGTTTAAATATTTATCAATTCATTTAGAAAAATTTTAATAACCTGTGGCATGAAAACAGAAATGCTGTTTTTATGAAAAATAGCAATTTTCCCAAATAAATGGGGCAGTAAGAACAGTGGATTTCACCTCATTTTACATTTTTCAGGTCTCTTATCTGTCTCCCTAGAAGACCATGAGATATTCGGATTTGCTCTGCATCTATTGTGTTATTTTGGTTGAAAAAATTACATCCTTGACCAAACATAGAAGAATAGTATGTGTCATAACCTTTTCAGATAATTATGGATATTACTTCTCGGTATTATATTAAAACTATACAAGTTGTACTTTTTCTGAGGTTATTTGCAAACTGTAACCTGAAACAACTTTGTTGACTGTCTCATTCTCTGTTACATTAAATCCATAAGTGGATCTTGTACTAATGCATGATTGTTTTTAAGTAATGTGTTGTGTGTTGTTTCACTAAGTAATAGAAGTGTTCCAGCATTGATTACAGTGGAATGGAATTACCAGAAAGTCATGTTTTAATACTACCACAAATCCCAACAGAAAAGTTTGTCAGTGTGAGAAGCTGTCGGGCTTATTGGTGGATCACAGGTTTTCCAAGTCCTGATTTTCCCTTGAGAGCTTACTTTTTATCAAGGCAACAAGTACTGCCACCTGTCTCATGTGAGCTGATTTTTGTGAAGGGAAAAGTTCATGTCTTTTTTCAAGAAACCGTCTGCCAAATATTCTAGCCTAAATAATCCAGGTTTCTGTGTCATTCATTCCTTCAAGTGAAAAATGGCATTCTGTAAAATAAAACAGAACAAACCCGCTATAGTTAAGTTCATACAAATTAATTTCCTTGGAGCTTAGGGATGTAGCAGAAGTGCTGCACATCCCATGTCTCGTATAACATATATAAATGTGGATTTGAGATTTAGTAAAGATAATAATTTTAATGCTTCAAATGGGACATTATACTATTTTGTTATGTTTTGTTTGTCTGTTTGCTTTTCCATTTAGGCATTTTATTTGCATGTATATATTACATCCCTAGAAAAAGAATCACAGGATTATTGCTCCTGTGTTTCCATGTTGCTTATTCATGGTCCATGATGCCAGCTGAGATGTTAGTACAAGGGAATCCAACTGGAGGGATGGGAGCAGATTATTCTGCCATTTTTCTAAGTCTTTGAGTTGTACATCAAATCTGGGGCTCATCACTCCACTGGAGTTTAACCTTCCCAGGAGGTTCAAAACAGTTCTGTGATTATCAGTGATTTCAGAGTCACCAATGTAACCATGCTCCATCATCACAGTTAAAACTGGACAATGACTTGAGGCATGACTTTAGAAGGCCTGGCATTTGCCTCACTTTTTGGCATTGTTAATGCCCTTAGAGCATCTGCCAGGACACTTATGCACAGAAAGAAGGAGGAGAGAATGTTTTTTGTTTTTTTATGGAAGTAAGTAGTGGTGAAGAATAACAACCTATTGCAGTTTGGACCCATAACCTCCATTCTGACTAAGTTTAGCCTCAGTGGGAATGTTAACATGATGAAAGGCAAATATTAAGTAATATTATGAAAATAGTTTTGACTTCATGGATTTTGTGAAACGACCTCAATGACTTCTGGTGTTCCACAGGTTGAGAACTGCTGCTCTAAATAAACCTGGGAGCATCTCCCAGCTAATCCCTGCCCTGACCTCCTCTTTACTTAGCAGAATCCTTTTCTCAGAGCTGGAGTTCTGACCTCTGATAACTTAGCTCTGAGTTTAGCCCCTGAGGGCACCTGGAACAGAACCCACCTCCTGGAAGTTTGTGGCCAGAGAGTGTCCTCAGTCTGGGAAGGGAGGTGGAGGGGCAGATATTTCCCTCTTGTAATTGGGAACAGTTTGTGCCTGAAGGCACCGGACCCATGCATGACCGACTTTGATTTTGTGATACACAACCTTACTATGTATTGACATCCCAGACAGAGATTTCCTGTGTCTGTAAGAGAAATAATATTGGTCTTTACATTTTACATGTGTCTAATGCATCTGACTTGAGGCCCACAAAGCATGCAGTGCAGTACCATCCAATATAACATTCTGTGATGAAGGAATTGTTCTATATCTGCTCTGTCCAGCATGGTGGCCACGAGCTGCATGTGACTGTTGAGATACAGGTGGCACTTGAAATGGGGCTAGTGTGCTGAGCAGTTGCATTTTTAATTGTTTCAAAGGAATTTGAATATAAGTAGCCATATGTGGCTCATAGCTACCATTCTGACAGTATATATCTAGAACATTCTTAGTTTTCATGATCTTCCTCAAAAAAGATACTATATGACTCATAAGTATATGTATATCAAATTTATCTTCATATGGAAGTCATGGATTTGTGTATGTGGGTCCGAGACATATCCTCTGTGTCTCATATGTTTCATGCTGTATTTTAAAACACAGCATGAGGGGCACCTGGGTGGCTGAGTCAGTTACATGTCCAACTTCAGCCCAGGTCATGATCTTGCTGTTCCTGAGTTCAAGCCCTGCATCAGGCTCTATGCTGACAGCTCAGAGCCTGGATCTTGTTTCGGAATCTGTCTCTCTCTCTGCCCTCTCCTATTCACGCTCTCTCTCTCAAAAATAAATAAACATTAAAACTTTTAAAAATAAAATAAATAAATAAAATACAGCACTAAAGCTTACTATGCATTTTAAGAGCTAAAGTGTACAGACATTACCCAAAACATGATGTATCACATAAAGGTCTTAAGTCTTCAAAAATGCCCATCACCGGAGCTAACTGATGTCTCTATTACTTTGGGTGTCTTGGTGTTGTTGCATTCACCTGGTAAACATAAGGAGGCACATAAGTCTTCACCCAGTCTAAGTGAGGGGATTCACTGAATACAGCATATAAGAGATACCTTGTAGGCCCTGTACATGCCTGTAAAAGTCATAAAGCAGAAGATGTACATCTTAGATTCCAATACCTTAGAATCTTTTACCTGTTGCTCCTTCTGATAATTTTGCTCAAATTCTGACAGTTCTCTGTGTTTCCCTTTACCCTTGAAATTCTCTACTCTCCATTGCTACCAAGGTGAAAATATAATGAAATGTTTATAACTGTGGGATGAAGAATTCTCTAAGCATGGCCCAATGATAAAAACTCATAAAGGAAAACATAAAATTTCTGCATGTCAGCCACACACAAAGATACAAATACTTGTCATAATCAAACTGGAAGACACAAAAACAATTTTGACAGACAAAAGGGTAATGTGTTTCAATGTTCTCCAGCCAAAGACCACCAGGAGCAGCTGTAGGCATTCAAGCTGGATCTATTACTTGTTGCAGTGAGAGAGAACACACTCCTTTGGGGCAATGAATCATCTTAATATGAAGGTGTTGGACCTATAAGAATGTGAGCTTTGGATGGGTGTTTTGGGGAGGGTCTGTGGAACCTGGGGCACACTCCTGATTCTGTGTTGTCTGGAGATGTGGGCAATTCTATGCTTGAGAGTGAATGTCATCTCTCAGCAGGACAGACCAGAGTGATGATAAAGCAGTAAGGATAAAGAAGCAGCGATTGCTCACATCAACTGGCACAGGGAGATGTTTGGTATTTTGTGCATTGTATAGTGACCTGTTTATGTCTGCAATTACATAGTGATGCCATGGTTTCAGAGTGTCCTATGAGATGACTGGATCATGTCCCAGGAGAATAATATGGCCCAGCGATGGCATCAGCCAGCTTCTGACCACACTGAGGCCCAGCTGTGGTCAGTGTCAGACCAGTTTCCAAGGGGGGAGAGGGAGCTGCTAATTCTTTACTGTTAAATTCCATATTTAAAAACAGCTACTATCAATTCAAAAATAACTATAATAATTGGATATTTTTCATTTTCTTTGGGTAAATACTCAAGAATGGAATTATTGGATGAAATGGCAAATCACTATGTTGTACACCTGAAAGGAATTTAACGGTGTGTGAACTGTACTCAAATAACAGAAAGAAAAAGACATAAAAAAAGAATTTAAAATGTAAAAAAAACAATTTGGAAAGGAAGAAATGGAATATCAAACAAATATATTGTTGATAAGTAAACATAAAAATGAGAATGTAGATAAGAAATGGGAGTAAAACTTAGAATTTATGAATTTGGCAAAGATGAAAGTAGGTGATGACAGTGTCCAGCAGAGGGTCAGGAAAATATACCATCATAATGGGTGAAGGGAATGAAAACTGGTATGTGATATTTAAAGGGCTCTTCTGAAAAAATGTCTCCACAATTTATTTTTTTAAGTTTATTCATTTATTATTTCTGAAAGACAAAGAGAGAGAGGGAGACAGAGAGAGAGAGAACAAGTTGGGGATTATCAGAGAGAGAGAGAGAGACATACAGAATCCAAAGCAGGCTCCAGGATTTGAGCTGTCAGCACAAAGCTCGATGCGGGGCTCAAATTCATGAACCATGAGATCATGACCTCAGCTAAAGTCAGACACTTAACCAACTGAGCCACCCAGGTGCCCCTGTCTCCACAATTTAAATGTGCTTATATTGTGACACAGACATTT